TCTCCCAGCAGATACTTTCAAAGGCAGTCACACTGCTAACAAGGTTAATAGCCAGCTATCTGCATGACTTCTGTGAATTGATCCAACCCCCTTTTTTAAGCCAATCAAGCTGGTAGCCAGTACCTCATCTCTTCACCAACATTTTACTGTATAGTTTCAGGGGTAGGGAACCTTGGCTCTTTTATGACTTGTGGACTTCAATACCCAGAACTCCTGAACCAGCCATGCTGACTCAGGAATTCTGGAAGTTGAAGTCTACAAGTCATAAAAGAGCCAAGGTTCCCTACCCCATAGTACACAGTTCTCAGAGGACTCTGCAATACGATCTTCTCAGCATGTGGTCCAGTCTTAGTATTGCTTTGCCACTGTAACAACTCAACAACAGGGTTTTACACAACTCATTTTCAATGAAACCAAAGATAACCTTCCAAGAGATATAAAAGCAAATACAGGTAGTTCATGTTTAGGAACCACAATTGGGACAGCAACTTGGTTGTTGAGTGAATTGTTGCTAGGTGGAATCACAACTGTGCTTATAATTTTAGTACAGTTTTCCTTTGCTTTACAGACCTGCTAAGGTCGTAAATGTGAAGATTGGTCATAAAAGTTACTTTTTCACCACCATTGTAAGGGCAAACTATCACTAAACATGGCAGTCACTGACCAAGGATTACTTGTACTATTCTATAGATAGTAGACAGACGTGTTTATGTCTGCAGCAGAAAACATACTGGTTTCTTATATTTCTTCAGACTGCAAAATTACTTTGTAAAAGACAGCATAATGGCATAGATCAGCGGTTCTCAACCTATGGGTCGTGACCCCATTTGGGGTCGATCGACCATTTCACGGGGGTCGCCAAGCAAGGCTGTCTGCCATTTTTTCCCCCCTTTTCCGGCGGGTGCCTTATCTCCCTTGGGCTGGCCCAGCTGGTGGTCGGCCTACTCTGTCTCTGCCACTTGCCAGCTACGCCTCGGCCGGCGCAGGGGGCGGAACCACGCATGCGCGGTGCTCCCGGGCAGGGAAAGTCCTCGACTTACCACTGGTTGGGTAGTCCTCGACTTACGGCCAGTTTAGTCCTCGACTTACGACCGGTTGGGGGTCGTGGCATTAAAAAGGTTGAGAACCACTGGCATAGATTATTACACATTGTTTTCTAATATTCCAGTGACTGGTATTAAAAACCAAAGAGGAATATGGAATATCTTGTGTCCAGCAAACATATGCTTCAAAGCGTAGTAGTCCAAACTGCCCATGCTTACCTAACAGCAATGGGGGAAGTGGTGGGCAGGGCAGGAAAATGTCAATAAACCGGATAAACCATTTATCACAATCCAAATACTATTTTGCTTCCTGCACTTTTACCAGAAATACATACTCTTTGTTATTTTGCTATAATCGTTATACTGTTACCTTTCTACCATAAGAAGCTACTAAAGCTTATTAAATGGCAGAACAGGAATTGTGTTCTGGGCTCTCCCCTGGCAATCAGTACATAGGAACATAGATACTAAGTCAGACATTTATTTATTGTTGCTAGTCAACAGTCGGTTTTTAGGCTACTATGTTTTTCAGGACATTTAATCTTGGATAATTTTAAAACCTTCTATATATAATTTTTTTACATTTTTCTATCAGAATATTTTTCTCCATTTCTGAAATATGTAAACTTTAAAAAGTGAAGAATGTCAATTTTACTGTTTTATTTTTCTTCTAATTATAATTTGAAACATTTTTTCCCCAACAAAACCAATTATTACAGTAGTTCTCAACGTGTAGTCCACGGATCTTTGGGGGTGGTTGTGATGTAATCACAGGTGCAAAGTCTTGAAGAAATGTTATGATTTAAATCTTGAGTTAAGTCTTGGGGGCCCGTGGCCATGGTACGTGGCCACAAAAGGTATTTAAAGTGGGTCTCTGGCGAAGAAAAGGTTGAGAACCACTGAATTATTATATTAGTCACAGAAATCTAAATTCAAGTTACTTTAACTTGATAAAGTTAATCTCTTCCCTGAATTGCAATAGCTAATAAAGTGTTAGTCTTCACCATGGAAACTTTTTTAGGTAAAATTTCATTAAATTATTAGTGCAGATTAAATTTATAGATGATTTATACTTACAAAAATGAGGAAATGCTAAGTGATAGCAGAAACCAAGTGATGTTTTCTGTGACAATGTGAAAAGTGTAATTCAACGGATATAATAAGGTAAATATATAAATATGATAAAAAGCAAGAAAAACATACATATTTAGAATATTACTATTTTCTGATTGCAATTTGTAGTAATAGTAGTATTATTCCTTTTATGCTTTCCTTTTATTGATGTGATTGTAATAAGTCCATGATTACTGCCTATTGCATGCATAAAATATATTTCTAGGCAAAACAGTACTTGCAAGGTCCTTCAATATTTTAAAAATTTTCAGTTTTTAAAATTTGTTTTAGATAGTGGAAAAGAGAGGTTAAAATAAAAGCTATAAAACTATAGTATAAAATATCTGTTACAGAGGCAGGTTATAACTAAAAAACATCTAGCCATGAATTTCATATAATATGCATGATGTTCCCCTTGATTTGTATATGCTGCTGGGCAAACAATTTCGGGATAAGTACTTGGGGATCAAGTTAGCTATTTATCTTTTGCAGTTATTAATTTTATGTAATACAGAAAATAATTTTACCAGATGTAACAAACAATGGCTATTCTTTTCCGATTCTTTGGTACCCCTGTGTCACATAAAAACACTTTCCCACATATTTCAAGAAACGTAATTCAATTTTGAAAAATGGTATGAAATCATATTGCAAAACAATTTTCCATTTCCCCTCAAAAGTATACAAAACATGTATGTGAGTCCTTGGTGTTCTCTGAACTTGATTGATTTCTTGCAGACATTTCATTACCCAAATAGGTAACGTCTTCAGTGCTAGAAGGGATTGAGGTTTGCCTTCTGTTTATATATAGTGGCTTTCTCTACTGGTATTGGTGGGAGTGTTTTCTTCTTGATAGTTCCTTGATTAGGTTATTGTTTACTGTTTGAGTAAATAACTGAGTTGGTAGTTCCTTGATTGGGGTATTAGGTACTGCTTAATTGTTGGTCTGATACTAATCCTAGTGTTAATCCCTGCTTATCTGGGTGTTGTATGCTAGTGAGGAAGTGTTTTGGCCTTTTTATTTCCATATTCGTTTTTTTATTATCTCTTTTGAATGATGTGTAAATGTTGTTTATCTCTATATACCTGTTGATGGTTTATTTATCTGAGTGCTAAGCTTCCAGAAACTCCCTAGCACTTTTGGACTTAGTTTGGTCTAGAATTTTTAGTTTCCCAGCTGAAACTATGGCTAAATCTGTCCATGTGTTGTGTAACATGTAATTCAAACCCAGATTTCACATACAGAAATTAATGTTTAAGTTGCAAAAATGATTTAGTTGCATAAAAAAACACACACAGTATTTTAATTGGCGAAAAGCTTTTTCTAGCATTTCTACATTTTCTGGAGAGATAATCACATCAGTCTGTTGCAGCATAAACTAAAGATGTCATGGCACTTTAAAGGTGAACTTATTTATTTGGTACCAACTTTCCTGGATTTTAGCCACCAGAAATTAAAACATTAACCTCAGTCAAACCACTCAACTCCAAATTGGGTAATGGATAGAACTGGAGATGATGAAAACAGAAAATGAAATGTGCAATATTTTCTGAAAAAATATCTAATTGCCATGATTTATGGAACAGCTCCTTGTAATAGTGAGTTGATTACAGAAAGTAAAATCACATACACCTTAAAAAAATTATGAGAATTTCAGGAGGTAAAAGTTGAACTCCTTCATGAATTGTAGTGTATTTCAAAATGAAAGTGTACATGTTAATAAAAATGTTGCTTATGATTGACCACCTTGATAAAGTAGCAGAATGGCATGGAAAGTAAAAGGCCTTTATTAAAAACTAATTCTTGAAGTCAGATTTGTATCCTGTTTATTTTCTTCTGTAGAAACGGGTCAGTTTCATTTGCAATGCAGAAAGGATGCAATTTATTATGCCATAAACACAGATTAGATCAGAGACCAGCAAACAGATGTTTTTAGGTACTTTGGATTACAACTCCCATAAGCCACAGCTAGAATAGCTAATGTTCAAGAGATCTTAAAATAATCTAAAACACCAGGAAGTGAACATATAGTCTACCTGTTTTAATATTAAAAACATTTTAAGATGATGCCACCAAACAGCCTAACCTTGAAAAAAGAACTAACTAAACTTGATAATACTGAATAAAGTGAAATGGCATAAATTATAAAATATATTAATTTTAAAAAGAGGAAGTCATCAAAATATCACTCATTACATTCCCTAGAATGGCAAGTCTTTAAGGTGCCCTAATTAATACATTCCCCATTCTCTCTCTCTTTCTGCCTCTTCATAAAATATAAAGGAATCGTAAGGGTCAACTAAGTCCACCACGGGCAATTTCTAACGATCCCTACAATAAAGGGATCTTTAGATCCCTTTTCTCTTCTTATTCTACCAGACTCCTTGATCCTCAGCTCCGTTTGCCTTGGGATAAAGCCAATGTCGGCATAAAAAAAACAAAAAAACTTGGAGGGCACCTGCTGCAAAAACAGATACAATAAAACCAAGAGCGAAAGGCTTTTGGACACCTCCTTTGCAGAGACCCGCGGCCTAATGCAAGCATTTGGGCCATCAAGGGCTTCTTCAAGTCGCCCCACCAAAGCCTGGCCTTAAGGAGAGGAGTGGATCTGCACATAGAAACTCAGCAACTCCCTCCGAACAGCCAGAGGCGAGATCTTGAGGGCAACAGCGGGCAGATCCCTTGGCGGCGTCACAACCCGGCACGTGCGTTGGCAGAAGGCGCACTCCGCGCTCCTCCAGGCTCTGCCAGCAAAGCGCTGCAGGCGAGAGACCGCTCGCCGCCCGCTCGGCGGGAGCTTCGGGCGCGCGCGAGTAGCCGGCTCAGCTGGCTCTTCCACCTACCTGTAGGGGGAAAGTCGCCGCCTTGTTGCCCACGTAGCCCCGCACGACGTGGCTCTGGATGGAGAGCACCCTGCACTCCTCCTCCCCTTCCATGCCTGCGCACCCTCGGGAGAGCAAGGAGCGGAGCACGCACCAGCAGGTCGAGCTGGGCAGAGGGACAGAGACGAGGTCCGGGCCAGCTGGTGCTCGGCGGCGGCGGAAGTGGTTTAAGGGCACATCTACCCAGCGGCAGAGTGGCAGAGAGAAAGGGTGCCTGGCAGAAAATGACAGGCGAAGTCAGGCGATCGGCGTAGACACCTAAAAGCTCTCCTTACATCACAGATGAGAATGGGCAGGCAGCGGCTCCCTCGCACCCAATTTAAAGGCACCCTCGCACTCCGCCCTGCAGCGGGAGGGAGTGGCTCGAGCAAGAGGAAGGCTGTCTCGGAGGACACGCGAGGAGCAGAGGGAGGGGAAGGACAGGAACGGCCATTTCCACCCCCGTCGCTTTGCTGTTGTTGCTGCTGCTGCCGCCGCCGCCGCCAGCGTGAGCAGTCAGCCGCCGACGTGCGGCATGTACGGCAAAAGGTGCCCCTGCGGGTGCCCACGTCCCGCTTGGGAAAAACAGAACTCTCACGCCGAAACGCCCCCGTGCGGAGCTTCCTGTCCGCCCTCGCCTTACCAGGTCACGCCAATGCTGGAGCTCCCAATGCGGCTCGTGAACGACGCTAAACGCGGGGGTTGTGAGAAAAGCCACATTTTCAAGGGCGTCTTGTGACACGTTTTAAAGACACAGCAGGTTTGCGGTGGCTTTCGTGCAGGGCTTTGCCCAAGATTATACCCCCTGCTCCCTGCCCCTATCTGCCAAGGCTTTCAGGTGGTGATACAAGATGCAGTTCTATCTGCTGCCAGGAAAGGGTCGTCTGGACTTTTGCAGCCCTGATTTGATAACCCTAGTTATCAGAGCCACTTGCCTGAAAAATATTAGCAGGGTAGTCCATTCAGATTGTGGCCAGTAATCAAAGGTCTTATTCTGATTGGAACATGGGTATATGCTACCTTTCTCTCTCGTGCATGTATTGGGTTTTGATAGCAAGGGTAGGATATGAAGGATCTGTTCGTTTGGAAGCACAGACAAAATTAGCAAGTTCTTGGTAAATAGATTTAAGACAAAGAACTAATAGACGATACTTACAAAAGTAAGTATGGGATTAATTGTCACAAGGAGTGATGAGCATCACTAGATTAGAAGAATGTAAAATGGATCATAAGGTTGTAGTATAGAAACCAATTGAATTGATTTCAGGGTCCATGAGATCTCTGAGAATCCCCTAAATACCTAGCACATTTGCAAAGCAAAACAAATATTTAGGGAAAACAAAACAGGAGCGAAGGAGGTGACTGAGGATGCTGAGTGCTGACAAGACTTTGGAGAAAAATAGTGCATGAGTAGCCATTCCTGAAAAAAAAAAGCCAGGTAACTGGTTTGTATGTGTAATCAACTTGATTCATTCACAAAAAGCCCATATGTTCATCCTCCAATCATAGCTTTCTGTTTTTGTCTCCACTTCTTCCACCATTTTTCCTCAAGAAACAATATTAATGGAGAAAAGATGGAATAGCTACACTGACTTTATAGATACTATGAACTACCGTGCATTGATTTAGTTATATTAAACTCATTAAAATAACTGGAACTTTAACCAATTAACTTGCACTTCAGAGTCTATTTTTTTCTTTTGATGGCCCTTTGTTTTGGGTGGAGTTGGGTTGACTGAGTGGAGCTGAGCATTTATTGGCTGGATGCCCTTCCTGACACCTAAGCAGAGTTGGCAGTAGATATTTTCTCTTTGCACCCTGATAGAGAAGCATCTGCCACTGTCTGGGGTTGAACTTTCAAACCTCCCAAGTGGCCTACCTGTAGGCCATCACACATCACACTTCAGTGGTCGACTATAAAGAATATTAAATCTGCATCCAGCCCTTATGATTTACCCTGTTTCCCTGAAAGTAAGGTCTACCCCAAAAATAAACCCTAGCTTGATTTTTGGGGTAGGCCTAATATAAACCCTAGCCCAAAAATAAGCCCTAGTTTTGGGGCGAGGCACACACCTAAAAATCAAGCTAGGGTGGGGGTGGAGCTGCCCCACGCGCCCCCCCACCTACTCACCTTGCAGCTAGGCCTCTCTCTATATCACTTCTGTGGCGTCTTCTGCAGCCAGGCCTGCATTTCTCAGTTGCAGGCCTTTCCAAAAGACCACTGCAGCCGAGAACCAAGCTATGGATTGAATCTATAGCTCGGTACTCGGCTGCATAGGCCTTCTGGAAAGGCCTGACTAGGAAATGCAGGCCGGAATGCAGCTGCAGAATGAAGCTGCTCCTTTGGTCAGAAGAAGTGGGCCGGCTGGGCGGGGCTGTCGGTGCCAGAGTTGAGTATAAAAGACACCCCCTGAAAGTAAGACCTGGTGCCACTTTTGGAGACAAAAAAAAGAAGACCTGGTCTTATTTTCGGGGAAACAGTAATACACATTTGATTTGTGACTGTCAGCTTTGTAAAAGTATGCACAAATTTTAATCAATTTTATCAAAAACTAATTTTAAGACTTTATGCCATAAAAATATAAATCAAAAAAGCAGCGTGTGAAACAAATATTTTGCTTTCTGTATTCTATAATTTAGTATGACCTCTGTAAGAACTTATTTTTGTGGTTTTCTTTTTCCCTGTGTAACTCATGTATTATGCTTAAACTCAATATCTTTGGCTTTGTTTCAAGCACTGAAAAAATATGCACAAAATGTCCTTCAAGAGCAGATTATGTTGTTTGGCATTCTTTACCTTATTCTGCTGAAGTCGAGCAACGGGTAAGATTATTAACCTCAGTTATTACTTTGGTTGCAGTTCATTTTGTTGCTCTTGGATTATTATGAAAGGAGTAGATTATTAATCACAAATTTCTCATGAGTCTAAAGGTCGATAGAAGAAGCCACCTGAAAGTCAGACAAGTGAATTACATACAAATAAGAAAAGCAGAAGTTGCTAGCTAACTGAAACCGCAAGTAGAGGAAACACAAAAACTGAGGATAAAGTTTAGAGCTTAAGGTAGCAAAGTATAACCGCAAACAAATATAGACATAAGAATTGAGCTTTGTTAATAGAAAGTTAGATGGTGATAGATAGGACGTGCACAAATGGGGCTTCCTGGAACATGGGAGGGACAGTGGTTTTAGGCGGTCCGGATTAGTTTATCTGATGATTAGGGAAGGGGCGTTGAGTGCGATAGGGGAGGAGGGAATCTACGACGGGTAGGATATAAAAATGTGTCAAATAGCTCTTTAAGGTGTGGCTGGACTCCTACATGTGTTTCAGCTCACCAAGCCTTAAATAAAACTTTGTTGCTGGAATTCCAATTGAGTTTGTTTATTTTGGGATCTTGAGCCATGTTCCAAACAATTATGTTAAGCAAACTTAAAGTCAAAAAATGAGGAAAAAGGAGAACTCTAATCACAACATTTAAAGCAAGTATTGGCTGTAACCTTTAAAGCAAAAAGCACGTTCCAAACACCAAGAATGATGTTTTTGTTTCAGACAACAGCTGTTTTGACAACTGATGTACCATTTAATCAATAACAAAAATATATATCTAAATTTATATGGCAGGAGAGAAAAAAAATCACATATTAAATATTGTGTTTTAAGATGCAAAGGAAAGAGGAGGGTTGGGTTTACTGAATGTGAAATTGTATTTTGCTGCTTCTTGTTTGGTCTGGATGAAAGAGTGCATGTTGTTGAGGAACAAGAAACTTTTAAAGGTAGGTCATGACCTGAGGTTTCGATGACATCATTATTTATGGTATGTTAGAGCTAAAATTAAGGTAAGTTTTATATTTCTGTATAAATGTGTACAATACAAGTAAAATTAAATGTGGAATACACAACACAGCTAAAATAAGGTAAGTTTTATATTTCTGTATAAATGTGTACAATACAAGTAAAATTAAATGTGGAATACACAACACAGCTAAAATAATCAGAGTTTTAATTAGTAGAGCATATTCTGTAGATTTTATCAAATGTTCTTTTTCTACCTTTGTTAGGGAAATATTGCAAGTGAAACAACCAAAACACTTGAAAGAGTTAATAAAGTGCATTTCTATTCTATAAAAAAGGACAATGATAATTGGGCACTTTTGCAGAAAGAAAAAAGGCACTTTGCTAGAAACAAGAACAGACTATGTATTTATCCAGTGTACATATTAATTTAACTAATTTTCATGTAATTAATAAATTACATAAATATGTGTATGTTGGTTTTCTGAGGATTCCTTACATCAAGGGTCCCCAACCCCCGGTCTGTGGACCAGTACCGGTCCGTGGCATGCCAGCAACCGGTCCGCACAAACATGCAAAGCCCCATCCGCGAGATGTAGGCAGCACACAAAACAACGCCTCCTTCAGTCTGCGGAAAAACCTCTCTCCACGGAACTGGTCCCTGGTGCCTAAGAGGTTGGGGACCTCTGCCTTACATTTGTACACTGAATAGTCATATTTATCTTGAGAGTCAATAAGAACTGGTTTTGAGCAATATGATGATTGTGGAAACTTATCAAATCAGAGTTTGCTTCAAGGTATTTCTTCAAAACTGTCTATCCTGCTATTGCCTGTATAATCTGCTTACTTTTTTCCTTTTGTTTTTTTTATAATATTTTATTGATTTTCTAATTTTACAATTAAACATTTAAAAAGCAACATGGTGGCTAGGTAATCAATGATTCCATAACATACATAAATCTTTACCAAAAATCTCAAGTTATAACGTCAGATGTTTCCTCTCTTTATCCCTTAATATCTACTATCTCATATTGAATTAATATAATTCTTATTGTTATCAACTAAGTAAAACCATCTTTGTTACATTTATCAGTAATTTTGAACTTATACATATCTTAATTGTGTTTACATTCAATCTTATATACATCACTGTCCTGATGTAGTTTTTTCCCCAGGCTTTAATTTCCCCTCAATATTCAACTTAACATTTGGTATGTTATAGTTTCTAAGCTTTAGGTAACTAGAGTTTCCCTTATCTCAACTTCTACATTTCCCCCTTTTTATAACAAAATCTAATATTCTAAATATACATCTTATCTATTTGCATATAATCTTATTCTATTTTAAAAATTCTGTTTCCCCCCCGCACCATATTAGATAAAACATCTATTAATCTTATTACACATCTTACCTATTCAGTTGTAATATTACTTTAATTTCTAAAAAAAATATCTATATTCGACCATCTTCAAACTTCTAATCAATAGTATAAACTCCCCCCTAATAAATCAAAAC